TACAGGTATTGATAAGATCGGTCCCCGTTGGTTGGGGAGAATAAATGAATTTCACGCACGAGTGACTTAACATCCGGTTTGATCGCGTAAGTAAAATGTACTCGTCAAGACCTTCAATTTGATACCAAACAAGACTATGTTTCGTTCATAAACGAAAAAGTTTTATGCGCGTTTTTTCCGCATGAGTGATTTTTTGTCTGCCATATTCAAACTCTCCTATCTCAGAAACGGTAAGAGATAGATCCATATAATAATACATTTTCTGTATTTACTCGCAGAGATCTTTCAAACGGTATATACATTTCACGGTTTTTTATGGACTTTGAAAAAATTGGTTTAAAAAATCGCTAAAAGGGCCATAACTCGAGAACGGCTTAAAAATCGAATCGAGAACCTAGGGTTTTATTTTGAAGCATTTGGTAAGGTCTATCAAATGAAACAAATATCTTGAAAATCGATATCGTAAAGTGTTGCATAAAAGACAAAAAAAGGCGTTTTTTATGTCAAAATTTATCCAGTTATCCTTCTCCACTTTTCATTGGTTAATGAAAAAGAGTGGGTTCAAAACGAGGCTGTCTATTGTTAGACGTCATCGTTTTTCAATTTCATTGGCTGATCAAAAATAGCAATACCGGTTTAAACCTGGCGTAAATTGTCATAAATAGTTTTGATAGGCGAGGAGTAAAGACTGGGGTAAGCTTATTTTAGTTATTTTAATGTTTTTTACGCATGAGTGATTTCACTCTCGGTTTAACAGTACGAGCTCGTAGCATTTGTCAAGACCTTTCGTTTTGATATGCAACATGCCTATGTTATGTCCAGTAACAAAAAAGTTATACGTATTTATATGCATGAGTGATTTTTGTCTGCCATATTCAAACTCTCCTATCTCAAAAACGGTAAGAGATAGATCCATATAATAATACATTTTCTGTATCTACTCGCAGAGATCTTTCAAACGGCATATAAATCTAAGGGTTTTATGGACTTTGAAAAATAGTTTAAAAATCGATAAAGGGCCATAACTCGAGAACGCCTAAAAATCGAATCGAGAACCTTGGGTTTATTTCGAAGCATTCTGTCAGGTCTACCATTTTTTGCGAAAAAAAATCAAAATGGATATCGTAAAATGTTGCACAAAAGACGAAAAACGCCTTTTCTGTTGTTTTTTTGTTCGGTTTTAGTGACCATTGATAATAGTGTTTTTTTATAATTTTGCACATTCGTGGTAATCAGTTTTAAAATCATGTTGGCATTTCTTTTCCAAAATGAGTTTAAAATTATGCCCCAGTGGTAAACTGACACTTCAATAGCTTATTGCTAACCTGCTTTTACTTTAGACGGATAAACTTTTGAATGGAGCATTGTCCACATATCCGTTCCTAAATAAACATACGCCAGACCAAGTGGCAACTTTAAAGAGATTCATTTTAACACTTAAATTGACCTTTGTTAACTCTTTCGAACTTAAATCAACACTTGCCAAATAATGTAAACAAGCTAGCCTTGGCACATGAATAGACCATTATTAAAGTATTCTTCCCTAAATAAACAAGACGCCAAACATTGCGGCGACTTTAAAGGAATTAATTTTGACAGTTAAATGAACCTTTGTTAAAGTATTCGTCCCTAAATAAACACACGCCAAACAGCGTGGCGACTTTAAAGGGATTAATTTTAACAGTTGAATGGACCATTGTCCGCACATCTGCTCTTAAATCAACATACGCCAGACATTGTTGACATTCTGAATGGATTAATTTTGACACCTGAATAGCCTTTTGTCCGCACATCTGCTCTTAAATCAACACACGCCAAATAATGTAAACAAGCTAGCCTTGGCACTTGAATAGACCATTGATAATGTATCCGTCCCTAAATAAACACACGCCAGACAGTGCGGCGACTTTAAAAGGATCAAATTTGACATGTTTACTTTGAATTGTCCGCCCAGTCGGCCTTAAATAAATAGACGCGCAACATGTTGGAGCTTGTTTCATTGCATTGGTGACGTCATCAGATCCAAGCATGCGCATTAAGGGATAGTACTTTTAATATTGGAGTCATTTCGTTGCTGGAGCTTAAGGAGTAAAGAGGTAATATTTTTATTAAATGTTTATAAAGAAATACTTAAAATAAATATGTTAATAACCTTATTTGAAAATGTATAAGATAAATTATGTATTAAGGGTGATATTTAAAATATGAAGAAATACATTTAAAATGTTAGTTATTTGAGTTAAATTAAACGTGTATTATAGAGAACATTGATTAAAAGTAATAACAAGAAAAGCATTGATGCAAAGCATCAAAGGGCGTCCAAGCAAGAAATGCAGCAGGTGCAGATGAACTAGTAGATATATGATGACAAGATGTTCTTATAAACTGTTCAATGGTTCATTGGTTTTTACCAGTATTGTATATCACTTATGAATGAACGAACGAAAGACATTGTTCATTATTTATAACTTTGATTGGCATGCTAGAAATTAGATTATTACTTGTTATTTCTTTATGATCGTGGTTATTAATAGCAACGGATATACATGTATACAACCATTTATAATCCATATGAGTAACGCATGATCAACACCACACTTGTGTAATTGTCCCTTATTATGTTATCGCTATTAGCGAAGACCCCCTCTTAAGCTATCTGTTCACACTTAGTAACAATATGACACTTGTTATATTACCATGTTGAGCATAAATGTTTATTATACACTAATTGTAATATCTTTTTTAATAAAAAAAATACAGATTTTATGAATATTGTTTTCTTTTCTTTTTTGTGTTTTATGCACTACTTTAATACTGAGTTTTTACGTTTACTACTATTTTAAGAATTCAATTGTCATAATGACCGACGATTATAAGTCAAAACTTAACTGGAAAAAGTCAGTAAATTATGGTTAAACTTTCAATATATAATATTGTTTATTCTTAAACCATATACATGTACATTTGTATTTTTCTTTATCATTTTTTTAAATTATCAATCAATTGAATAATTCATAAAATATGATTTGTAACTTTGAATAATTCCTCGGCATCTTTACTAAACACGAATAACAAATTAAATAAAATGTTTCAAAGTTGATAGTGTCATATTAATGCCATAAAAATGTACATTTTTTCTCAATTATTGTACATAATTATTGTTTTTATCTCATAAAGATAAAATAAAACATGCGATTTGTGTTGTTGGTTTTGTTTTTTTTTCGAATTGTATGTTTATGTATAATAATAATCAATAAATTTGAGAGTTGATCTATTTTTATTAATTATTGTAACCAAACTAAGTGACAAACATTCATTTTGAAAAAAAGCTTATTTATCTGTAAAATATTTGTTCCGTTCTGTAACGATATCAAACATCTACTCCAAAACCGGAAGAGACCGGACAATAAACGTGTGGTACTATTCGCCGGTCGTCAAAATAGACCAGGAGAGACCGGGAATTACCGACAGGAGTACATCCCTCTATAAATAGATTTTCGGAATATTTAGGTCATCAACTCAACATTCTATTTACAGCTTTCGAAACAACATACCATAATAACCCACTGTGTACTACAAAATGATAAATAAAAATACCCCGAAGAGCGCGATTTATTGACGGAAAAGGTTATTAATTAATTTGAAAATGTTTGCATTGCGAAATTCTCCAGTTCGCTATTCATTGTACATATCGCGACTAATTAATAATCAAGCACCCTCATACCGATCGGAATGATCGGCTTTTATTATGAACAACTATAAAAGGCTCGAGAAGTTGCTGTCGCCCTTTCACAAAATCTGATTTCATTACATAAAAGGCGCCGCGCTTCGGCGCGGACGCCAATTAAATCAGTTGTCAAGTACACTGTACGCAGTGTGGGAAATATAAAAACAAAGGGAATCATTATTTTTGCCATTCAATTTTAAAATGCTTGGATACTAATTTTATCTCCCCGTCTTGGGCCGAGGACCTGACCCTCAATGTCCGCGATTCACGCTCTAGATCGGGTATACAAGTCAGCTCCGTATACTTCCGGGAGATTAAAAATAGAACGATAATGTCATTCTAAAAATAGACAGATAATGTCATTTTAAAAGTAGAACGATGATGTCATTCTAAAATTAGAATCCAATATGGCGCCGCGCATGCGCAGTCGTGGGGGTAAACCGGCCCCTATACTACTCATATATATGTTTATCACACACCCGTGCCGATTTTGCGACTCCGTAAATATGGTATTGCACGGCCGTGCATATATTTTGACGTGACGTCATTAGCGTTATATAAACATAGTGTAACGACGCGCTAAATGTTAGCGTTATACTATAAGCGCGTCAATGAAAATTGACTCTTATTTCAATTCAAAGGGTCTTTATTTTGGGTATGTGATAAATAGAATATTAAATTCGTGTAAGCTAATTACTGAATTTATTTCACTTGTTGAATAAAATAATATTATGCTCGCCAGAGGCTCGCATAATATTATTTTATTCAACTCGTGCAATAAATTCAGTATTGAACTTACACTCATTCAATATCCTCTATTTATCTTTACATTACTCTCCACAATTTCTTTATATGTTATCTTGTATTTTTCATCATGCTCTAAATACCCATCAAAGGGTATAAATGAGTTAACAAGTGAATGTCAAAATAAGTTTTCATTTTGCCATAATTCCTTTTAATATAAAAAAATTATTTCACATTAACAATAAACAACGCATGGATTCAAACGAAATTTTCGTAAATATCCATTAAAATTTACCTGTAACGTTCATTTCATAAAAAGAGTGGGGCAGTCATGATTTTTTATATTTTAGGCTGATTTAAACTTTATCCTAAACATTTTCGAATATATGAACTGTTGGTCAATCACCAATTTGACAGTCAATCTTTTGAAATATATACAGTTCAGCTCAACTATGAAAATATGAGCATAATGTCACAGTACGTCTGTGGACGATAGCGATATGATGTTAGTATATTCGTATTGCAATTATGCCGAAAAGGCAATTTCCGGTAAAAATAAAATAAAAAATGTAAACAAAATACTTTTTTGAGTTCTGAAAGGAGGAGACAGTCCTTTTAAACGTATAGTATTGTAATTAACGTTCATTTAACAACAAATACATTAGGCATATGATAATAAAGAGATTTATTTAAAATTCTCAGTTATGAAATAGGTGGGTGGGGAAAGTCGAAATATATTTTTCACTTTTTTTGTACATTTGAGCCTCCTAATTTTTGTACAAACTGTAGCAACTACATTTCGTGAAATCTGAATCATTAAATTAGATTTCTGAGTGTAACAATGTGTGTATTTCATTGCCCATAAAAACTTTGGGGTCAGCCAGGGCTCAATCCCTGTCAATAACTTTTTTTAACACTGTCACAGATTGGACGGTCCTACTAAACACTGCTAAGGACTGCTAAGGAGCCACAAAGGACTACTAGGGAGGCACAAAGGACCTAAAAATACCTCCTAGGGTAGTAGGGCATTCTTATAATACATGGTAGTATGTTTAGTGAATTTTTTTTTATAATTTTAAGAAAAAATATTATTATGGTGAAAATTTTAGCAGCCCTTAGCAGTGTTTAGTAGGACCCCAGATGGGACACCATCTTAAACATCAAACTTAATTTTAAACCATTTTCAGGCGAATAAGAAAGTCTAAGTTACTATCAAGTCTCAATAAGGGAAAGATTGAGAACACTGAAACTCTTTTTGTGTAACTAATACAAGAAATGTTCCTTGCTTTAAATCTGCACCATCTTCAGCTTTCTAAGATACAAGATACTTTATTTTAAGTTGGTTTATATATTACAAGAAACATAATTTAGCTAATAAGCTATTTACCGACAATAACAAAGACATAAAACATATTTACTAAAATATAAACATCCAGATTGTCTCGACTCAATAAACACACTGTTGAATGCCAGGAACAGTTTTTCTTGATTAAGGTTTTTGCATGTAGTCCAAAATTATTTGTCGCAACATCTGTTAAAACTTTTGCATAGATCAATGTGTAGAGTCACTGTACCTGTGCTTGACAAGTCCAGTGCGCAACCAATACTTCTATTTGTGTGCAATTTATAAAGTGAAAAAAACTCGGAATTTGTGTAAATTGCTATTTGTACTAGTGATGTTCAGATTGTCGCAAGTCGCCCAATAATCAGTTATTGTTATGTAAAGCGACAATAATCGATTAACAAAAATTTGTTTGGCGACGTTGTCGAAAATGTTTAAAGTATCAAAGGGGATTAATTCTGATGGTAATTTTCTTTAAGGAACACCTCGCTGATCGCAAAAAAATCATCTTAGAGACAATTTGGAGTTGAGCAGGATCAATACGTGATGTAAACAATAGTAAATATAATGTGATGTGAATGTTATTATTGGACATCCATTGAAAATAAAATCTATTTCGTAAAATTATGACTATATAAGGTTAAACTGTATTGAAAAGTGCTAAATGAAGTTCATGTTACTGAATATAATCAAGTGCCATGGGAAAAAATGTTACTTCCCTATTTCTTTTTAACGCGACTTTATTCGAAAAGTTATCGATTATGTCCCATCCGATTGAACCGTTGATCGATTGGGACAAATTTTATCCCGATTTCCATCACTAATTTGTACCTGACCTGTAACCTCTACACCATGTACTATTTTGCTTAATAAGTGAAGACACTTTTCCAGTTTGCTTGACTAACTTGAACTTTAAACTCTATTTTCATATATCAGTGACAAAATAAACAAACAACAGCAACAGAAACAGAAAAAATGAACTTTCTGTTAGTTTGTAGTATTTGTAATATCTAATACAAGTATGCATAACAATGATCCCAATTTATAACACATAATAATTATATAAATGTTTTTCATTGTTTGTAACTGTCAAAGTTGATATATTGATATAGCGTCGATAATTGTCTCTCAAGGTATTAATACAAAATGTTCCATCAATGACAGCTCTATTAATACCTATCTAATACAGTAAAATTTGAGAAAACCGGACGCTGAGAAAATCGGAACTCTCTAAATACCGGACGAATAATTCAGTCCCAAATTTTCCCTTCTTTAAACTATTGTATTAAACATTGACAATACCGGAATCTGTAAAAACCGAATATCGGACGGTTGATAGGGGACTACAAAGTCAATTATATAGACAATTACCCTGACAATACCGGACGACGAAGGTGTGAATAACCTTGTGTACTTATCAATTGGTTGTGTCTAATACGCTAATAGAGCGGTAACGGAACAATGATTGTCTGATTTGTTAATTATGTCTCATTTCACAGTTGGTATAGATGTTACTGTTTTATATAAATGCCAAAATGCACAAGGAATTGATAAGTTAAAATCAGTTGACGAGAGCTGTCTATAAGTGACAAATCTAAATTAATTAAAAACATTGAAACTTTGCCGATACCTACCATAAAAATCTTTATCTGACAAATATGGTATAGGCAATATTTACAATTGGGGAATTATTATAAACAAACAAAGTAAACCACATGTATGTTCGTTAAATCATTATGCATTACCCAAAAATAAATATATGCGGGTGTAATCGGACTTTATCGTTATGAGGTAACTGCTGTTCGTTTAATTAAAAATTTTATTGTATTTATATGCAATAATGGGACAAAAACAATTAAAACATATTGTATAGAATTTTTATCATTTCTTTATTTAGCAATATACTTACTCATAATCATGAAAATGCAAATATACGTTCAGCATCCTTTGTAAGTCATTGCTCAGTTTATATGATTCTGAACAGCTGAAGGGGACATTGAGAATACCGGACCGCTGAGAAAACCGGACAAAACCCTCGGTCCGAAAGCCGTCCGGTTTTCTCAACTTTCACTGTAGTAATTTCCTTTTATTTGATATTTTAATAACAAGTATGCAGACATGCCAAATTGCCAATCAGATAAAATATGAGACAGATCTGCAATGATTGTTTTCAAAAGATCTAATTTTGTTGTTACATAAATAACCCTGTAAGTTGCCCCTTAGATAAGATAAGATTCAATATTTGCAAAGTAACATACATAATTCTTACAGTATTTTCAATTGTAAATCAAGTTTAAGGTTCCCAAGATAAGTGATTCTTTATTATTTTAGACATAATACCCTATTATTAACATAAAGAGATGAAAGCATCTAGTGTTTGAATATTTATTTTATACAATTATTCAACTATTAAATTATTTTTTCAGATATAAATCATGGCTAACATCTACAGACATTCAGATGCCCTAGATATATGGCCACCAAATGCTCCATCAACACTGGAAGACATTTGTTTAACCTACTTCTTAGACCATATCTTTCAATACCTGGATAAAACTGATGACTCATACTGTTTAAAGCAAGGAATAACATTCCCATTGGGATTAAGTGACAAGTTACTTGCCAAGATTGTAACGCATACAAAGCATTTACAAAGTTCAGATGACAATGTTTTTGGAATATTTAACAATCGAGCCACTACAAACCTTACTGAGCTTTCATTGAGATACACAGCAGTGAGTTCTGACCACCTTAGTTACTTGTGTCTTCATGCATTGCGGGAAATTGACATTGCTTATTGTCCCGAAATAAAGGGAAATTTTGTGAAGTGTATTAACCAGGCTCACAAGACTTTGCGGGTATTGCAGCTTGGTGGCAATGACCAGTTTGAGCGCATGGAGTTTCTTCTGGACGGGGATGTTCAAGAGACTGTTCCAAGTGAACAGGGTGATAATGCTTGTAGTTTATCTCAGTCTAGATCAGCGATATTTGTGTTACCAAACTTGCGATCATTGTCCTTGAGAGATATTAATGCATTTAAACCAATGGATGGGGTTTATATAGAAAATGTACCTCTTATGGAGAGAGTTATTCGTCCATTAAAAAGTCTGACACATTTAGATTTATGTGACTGTCATCTGGAGAAGAAAACTTTAGAGGAAATTGGAGATTTAGACTTGCCCAACCTTTTGTCTCTAAGCCTCTGTGATGTTTTGAATGGATGTGAAGCAGCATTAGATAATCTCTGTAAATTGAAAACATTGAGGTGAGTAAACTTGCTTACCCTGTTTTCCCATTGATGTATAAGTTATAGTATTAGTTATAAAGACAACTGACATGTTTTCAGGCTCAGTATAAAAGGTTGTAAGCTTATATAAACAGGGCTGCTAGGCGAGGGTTATATTGCAAACTGCCATTAATACATGAGCCATATAACACATCAGGCATCTGTATAATGAATATGCAGTACAACAGAATTACTTTTTTTGAAGAAATCTTTTTAGCTCACCTGAGCTAGCTCATATGAATTTGATGGGTCAGGTAAGCGATCTAGGGCCATCTTGCTTTAAATCACCATGAAGTCACTATAAGTTAACCATTAATGTCAATTATCAATATTTTATTTCTTTTAATTTAAATTGTGTATTTCAGACACCTAGATGTATCACAAGGTGATGATACAACAATGTTTTTACCGGTGCAATACCCAAAACCTACAGACCGCCTACAGGTCCTCATAGCCAGTATGCCAAACTTGAGATCCCTCGACATTTCTGGCACAAATCTGGCAGGATATGCACCAATACAGAAAACCTCTCATCGTCTTGAGGCAAAGTCAAAAGAGGACGATCCCCCGGAGGAGTAAGGAACATTATATATTTTTGTTTTAATCTTGTTTTCTCTAGACTCGTATCTAAATAATAAGTGTCAAATTTTTATACCCCACCATCTTTCAATAGATTGGAGAGCGTATTGTTTTTTACATGTCTGTATGTTTGCATGTATATGCAACTTCAACCTTGGCCATAATATCTTGAATTTAGAAAAAAGAGCCCTTGTATTTTGACACAGACACAAATACCTTAAGAAAAAGGGTTCATTTTGAGATAATGAATTATAGCCATGACAACTAAATAAACTTACCCTTATTCAGCCTAAATGAGGTAACAAGTACTTTAATTTTATCATTTTTCCTGATAAAATAAACTTTTTTTTTTGATAAGTCTGAATACTATCAAAATTGCTTTTGATATTTGATAATTACATCTTATATTTTGAGTAATTGTTGTTTATTATTGATTTTTTTCTGTCATGAATGTTTCACATACAGTACAGCTCCCATGTAATGTACGTTTACTCCTTGCCACTGTGGAACTGTGGGGACTTATACAGTTATTTAAATGTAATAGCATTATTTACAATTTTAAACATCAAATATAACATTTGGTATATATTATCATTTTATAAATACATTACATGTAAATGTGTTCATATTACAGAGAAGAAGGGTTACCAGGCAATGATGGTAGACAGTTTAACTTCCTTGGACTTCTCAACTGTGCAGATAATGCCTCGCATAGGAGAAATATACCTGCTGAAAAGGTAAATAAGACAGAATACTAGTGGTAGTTTTCTTATCAATAAGTTATTACTTTTCTTATGTTAAAAGTTTGGTTGTTCAATGTTGACACTGCTGCAGGATCTGAAATGATCTCTATGCTCAAGTGCTTCAGGTTGTTGACTTTGAAATCTCTTACCCCTTACTGGTGTGGGTGTAAGTTGAGACTCTTTCATGTCATGGCATGCATTTTGAAAAATGAAGCAAATGTTCTGATAAATATTTCTTGACATTGTTGAATCAAATAAAGACTATGAAAACAGGTATGGTTAATATATTCAGGTAAGTTAGATACATGTATATCTTGAGTTTTAATTCTACCACTGGTTTCATACTACTAATTAGTGATGGGATATCGGTTGGAGAACTGCAACTGATAAGCGGTAAACGGATGTGATATACTGGAAAAATAATCAGTTAAATGTTATTTATATACATAATTGTCTACTCAGATATTTATGTCTTAAAAGTGATTGTTTTAATTAAAATTCTAATGATCGTTTGAAAAAAAAAGAACTTAAGCATATGTTATTCAGCTGGTTCCAGGTTAACAGAGATTTGTTTAGTAATCACTTATGAGTTGTTAACAGGGAAAGCTGGGAAACCACAATAAATTACAATCTCAGTGGTGTATACATAGCTGGCATTTGTGAGAATTGACTTCTCTTTACACCCCTTACACGGTAACACATAACATCTTAAGTTTGATACTTTTATTTATAAAAAAAACAACATTCCGTTAAAACAAACAAGAAATTTTAACACATGGACAGTTAACATCTTCTTTATAATTATTTTTTTCTAGATATTTAGTAAAGAACAGCATTATTTACATAAAAAAACTGTTTTACACTTTTACATGTAAATTGAATGTGTCACTAAAAAAAATCAAGTTGCATATAAAATTTGGTTCTTTCAACTGATATTACATACTGGATATGGAAATATCCCAGCATTTTTGTCCCTTGTCAACAAATGTAAAATATTAAAATATTAAAATCTATCAAAGTTTTGCTAATTCTTGGGAACTTATTGTTTGATGCTATGGATGCCGCCATGTTGACAGCTGTGCCTAACTGTATTATGTTAAGTTAATTTTCATTGGAATAATAATACTTTGTTGGCTGCCCATTTGCCGCCATGCTTCTGTTTTAACTGTTAAACATTAATCATCTGATATTCGGATACTGTAATCTTGTGGACAGGCACAGGTTCTTTCTTGTGGGGATAATATATTTGCAAAACATAACACAGACACAGCTCTTGAAGTCCAAAATATAATGCTATAATGCTAAAGTCTGACATTAAAGTACTGGAGGGTAATTTCAAAAGATTAGACTATACTGTATTCATACCCACTATCTGATAATCAACTCAGTTATACCAGCTAAACGGCTCATCACAACTACTAATATTTATGATTTTAAAAAACAAATACTACATATAACACCTTAGATGAAATTAATGATATCTCTTTATATGTTTTTACAATTTTACTCATAAACTAACTTTCAATCCTTTAACAGTTTATTTGAGCCGTGTCATGACAAAACCAACATAATGGGTTTGCGACCAGCATTGATCCAGACCAGCCTGCGCATCCGCGCAGTCTGATCAGGATCCATGCTGTTCGCTATCAGTTTCTCTACTTGCAATAGAGTTGATAATCGAACAGCATGGATCCTGATCAGACTGCGCGGATGCGCAGGCTGGTCTGGATCCATGCTGGTCGCAAACCCATTATGTTGGTTTTGTCGTGACACGGCTCATTTCACTTTGATATAATCTTACTTTTGATTGGTCAAATTCAGGTTACAGGGGATTTTTCGGAAGAACAGATCTTGTTAGCTGTGCACGTATATAGAGACAAACCAAATCTGCTGACTCGTGGATTTAATTACTTGTTCAACAGGTTTAGATTTGAAACTGTGAAAGCCCATTGTTTATCCTTAGAGGTAAGTTAGATTGCTTGAATGACATATTTGTAGTGTATAATTATATATACATGTATTGTGAAATTTAGAAAATAACTGAAAATCAATCATCTTTAAAGATATTAACCACTTGTATATTATTCAATGTATATAACAGTACTATGATAATAGAATAAGAGATCATTATAATGATGCTAATTAAAAGCTTGATTTTTTTTTTGTTGGATGACATTCTTATATATATATATATATATTATAATCAAGCACCTTGGGTCATATTCATTTAATTCTCACTATATGTCCTTTTATGTCCCAGTGGAAAACTACATGTTTATAACAAATATTATGAAATTTAGTTTGTAAGCAGATAGTGAGCTTAAGTGACAACAGGTAAACTTTGATTGTAGACCTATTGTCATAACCCACTCTTGGGTGTTGCTTAACCTATATGTTTAGGTCCATTTTTTTAAAACCATCAAAAACATTAACTTTTAACTATGAAAATCAAAATAAGAACCAATCTTGAAAGGGCAGGCAACCCTTTATCTTATTTTAGCATGGTTATTTTCCATTTTGAAAAACATTTGTAGCCAAGGGCAGATAACTCTGTCATTTATCTCTTGAATAACTTACCTTTTGCAAATTCGCTTTGAATTACTCATCACTGACAAACATACAGATGGGTCAGTTAATGTTTATAGATGTATGTATAAGTTGAACACTATTTGTCAATATTGATGTAAACATATTATGAAAGGAATAGGGAATTTGAGCTGTAATATACTGTTTTATGTATTGTTTACAGGGTATCCTGTCCGGTATGGAGCGTAACAAGCATGATAAACATGTACAGATATCTGGTAGTGCATCACTCTTCTATATTGTAAAGGGATGTAAAAAAGAAAAACTCACTCACACACAGAAAAGGTATTTTTTAAGTTTAAGAGGAATAATATTGCATTACCCTAAAAAGGATCAAGAGTTAAATTTTCACAAATTCTTTGCAAAAATGAACCATTTGCATGCATTCTTTAAAAAGACCTTGCTATTCTGATATTAAGTTCTACACTGTCACAGATTAATATTTTTGGTTCTTAAAATGAAATCAGTATAATGATTTACTGTACAGTCCCATTACTCAACATGAATAAATTTTAATTCTTGATGAAAAAGTTTAATGTATAAATTTAAATTCTTGGTATAAAAATTTGGACACAACATACATACAAACATGCTAATTATGATAAACTTCTTTTTAACAATGATGGTTTAGACATGTGTATCCATGTAGTACTATGTCCTTTAAAATGGGTAAATTCAGGCATCTATTACAACCATTTCTAGACAATGTTAATTAAAGTTTTTGTTCACAAGACTGGTAAATCAATAAGTTCAAAGGTTGATTGATAGTTGTGAGTGAAAATCAGTATTTGTTGAAAAGGTGGACTGTAAAATTGGAATTTGTTCAGACATTATTAGAACAACTTTTTTGATAAAAATATTTTAACCTTGGTTTTTAGATCAACTATTGGAAACAAATTTGAATGTTATGCAGGATGTTTTAATATGAAGTACTGAGAGCATTGAAGAAAGCTTTTTGACTGGCAACTTTTTTTTATCTCCCAGGAAACTACTTCAAAATTTGGTTTTTGTTGAGTTTTTGGATTTCTTTACACACATGTAGAAGAATACTATTTATTATTAGTAAAAGCTACTATATATATATATATATATTATTTGTTTTCATGGTTACAGGAAAGTTATTGGATGTTTACTGGATGCAATGGAGAGGCACATGGCTGAACATACTGTAAGAATGTTTGTATTTACCCAATAAACTTTATAGCTGTCAGAGCTTTGATTATATGATGTCAGGGTATTTGCCTGGGACATTTCTAAGCAAACTTTAATGTACAATAGAAGATGGATGCTTATTCTTCACTTTGTGCATATAGAATATACGAAGCCTTAATTTCTATAGAAGAAAACGAACAAAGTTAAGACAAAATGATTTTTTCTTACCATTATTATAATAAAAATAAGATTGGCTTATGTATTTGACTTATTCATGATAATGTCATGGTAAAACATAAAAGTTTTTGTATGAACTTGTCATTTTTGTTTTATTATTTTCAGATGATGAGGAATGGCTGTCTTACATTGTGCCACTTTAACATACCCTATGAAGTGGTAAGAAGTCAATCTTGTTTTTTAAGGTTTCAAAACTAGTTTATCACCAAGAAAAATGGATCATAAGAGTAGGAATACTGTCAAACTTGATTATAAAATCTTCAACGGAGAAGAGGGGCATCTTTGGCCAAAAAGTTCAAGTTACTGACTCTTTGCTGCCAGTTTGTATCTTGCAAGGGCTTTTGCGTGCTTTGATATGTGGATGCTTTTCAGGTAGCTTACGAAAATTCAGTGGTTTTGCTCTGGTACCTGGTTATACAGGGGCATTTCTACACCAATTAAAGTGGAAACTGGAAAGTAGCCGTATGACATGAACAGTGTTAGTGTGACCATAAAAATATGGAAAACAAGGAAAAAATAAAAAGACCAGTTCCCTTTTGGGCAATACAATATTCTTAATTTACAGATTTTCTTTATTTATAGCTCAGAACACATTATAAATGCAGACATTATAAATTATAAATATTGGTTATCTTTTTCACAGGTTTTGATTTTGCAGTTTTAGATTACATTCTTTGTGGTGGTATTATATCACACCTGAACCTAATATCGTGCATATTATACATGTACTGCAATACACATGGTTTAAATTACTGTGCAATGTTTTGGTATGCAGTAACCAGAGGTTGTTCTGTTTATTTTCAGTTGTACTGTTACAATCGTCTGGTGAGAATTCTCCTGCAGATGTTACGAAGGGACTATAATGATGATTTCCTGTTACGTATTGGCATATTTCTGTTGAACAGTCTTGCTTGCCAGGTAGAGGGAGAACATAAACAAATCCTCGGACAAACAGGAGCTTGTATTGTAGATGCATTGATATGTTGTAAATCAGAATATTTTTAAAATTTGTTAAAAAAAAAAAAGGGTTTATTATTGTAACCATTTTAACAAAAAAAAACCCCCCCAAAAAAAAATTTGGGTGGCCCCAATTTTTTTTTATGTATTTCATATGGGAATTTTATTAAATATTGAGTGTATGGGATTTGTAAAAACCATTCAAGGCAAAATGCGTTTTGTCAAAAACTTTTAACAAATTTTAATTTAGTCCCTTTTTAAAAGTTGTTAAACAATTTAAAAATGTTCTAAAAAGTCCTTTGAATTTTTGCTAAACCCTTTAAAATAGGCTAAAAAGTACTTTAAATTCCCCCCACTAAATGTCCCCTTAAATAATTAAAAAAAGAATGTTGTTCCGGGTTAAAAATAACAATAAAAAAAAAAAAAAAAAGGACCCGATTGTTTATATAATTGAATTTAGGGAGTTTAAAAGGGGCTAAAACGTGGATGTAAGTAAAATTTTTTTGTTCCTTTTTTCTTTTTTGTTATTCTTAGACATGAAAAAAAATTTTTTCCATTTTATTTGGTACAGTAGATGCAATTTTATGTAACTGCCAGTTATTATATTGTGAGTTTTTAAAGCTTTTTTGTAAAAAAGAAGTTAACTGCACATAAAGTTTTGTAATTTTAAATTTGAAAGGGGATTTTGTGACTTTGTTTCCGTCGTCCTGTTTTAAAATTTCCCCCCAAAAATGGGGAATTGGGGTAAAACAAACATGTTTTGTTTTCCTGCCATTTTTTTACCCTATTATTTTGGGGAAGGGGCAAAGTAAGTAATTGACCTTGAAGACCTTTTTCCCTTAAAAAAGAAATTAAGGCTGGAATTTAAAATTGGATTATTGGTTTGGCCTAGATAACCCAATGATTTGGTAAGGGGGAAGCAAGGTCCCTTGACCTTTACGCAAAAAAGGTTTGTAATACTAAAACCCCTTCCGCTTCAAACTTTTATTTTTGGCCTTACCGTGGGTACTATTTATTTGGGAAGTTTAAATGGTAATTTTGAAACAAAAGGGTTTTTTTTAAATAAAAATTTAATTTTTTTTTTAAAAAGGGCTTTATTATGGTTTGGGATACCTCCAATAAACCCTATTAAATTTTAATTTAAAATTCAAAGAAAAGGGCCATTGTTTTTAAACAAAATTTGATCAATTAAAAAAGAATTAAAGTGGATTTTAAAGTATAATTTCAGAAAAGAGATGCGCCCCATTGATTTTGGGGAATAAAGTTAAGTTCCTTGAAATGTAAGCAAAAGTTTTTAAAAATAATAAAATAACCTTTAAATTAAAAAAAAATTTCATTATATAAAAGACCCAATTCCCCCGCAAAAAAGTTACATTACTTGTTTTAAACTTTCCCAATCAATAACTTTGAAACCCTTCTTAAACTTAAAATTTTTTCAAAAAAATTAACCAATCGAATTAAAATTTTTTGGGGTTAAGGGTAACTCAAGTAATTTATTTTTAAAAATTTGACAATTTAAACCCTTTGTAGGGGCCAAAGGTGCGGATTGGCATGACAGTATGACCCCAAAAATTAAATTTTGTGGGTTCAATAAGTACATACCCGGTAAAAGGTTTCCAAAAATGAACTAAAGAACCCTTAGGCCAAAACTTTAAATTGGAGGTATTCAAAAGATATATTTTGGGTTAAAAGTTAAAAATTTTTATTATTGTAGGGAAAATTGCTTCGTTTAAACCTTTAAAAACCTTTGAGAACTTGAATTTTTGTGATTGTCTACCACGTATTTGATTTTGAAAGGGGCAAGGGCCAGGGATTGATTTTGGGAAAACGGGTTCCATCAATAACTAAAAGTTACCAAAAACCAAACTTTTTTTTATTTCATGACCCCAAATACATTAGTTAGGTTAACAAACTCAATAAAATTGACTTTTAGTAAAAAGTTTCTGATCAAAAATTAGAAACCAGCCAGAACTTAAAATTTTTGTTGCCTACCGCATTTGCCTTTTGATTTGATTAAAGGTAAAGTTATCAAATTTCCTTGAGTCAAAAAGGTGGAAAAAAATAAAGAAAGCTTCGGGTTCAAATTCATTGTTTCGGGCCGAAAAATCCCCTGATGGGGTCTAAGGAATTACCTGGATTGTTAAGGTTTCCCCATAAAAAGAAACCTTAATATAACTAACTAGGATTGTGATTGTTAAAGGTTTAATTTTAAATTTTGAAGGGGGAAAGGTCAATCAAAATATTTAGGAAAAAGGGTTTTTATCAATTTAAATTTAACCTTGGGAGGCTTCAAATTGTATATATTGGGGTTTATTTTAACATTTTTTTTCAAAAAATTTTTATTATATTTAAATATTTATAAACCCTTAAATTTTAAACAACTGTAAGAACATGCAAATAACTTTTGATTGGCTTGCTAAAGGGACCCTTTAAAAACTTCTTTTTTAATGATTTAAGTTTTTGAATAAATTTCGTCATGAAAATTTTTAGTCACATTTTTGTTTGCTAATGTACCAAGGGAATTTTACTGGAAAGTTGGCAGTATCATTTTTTTGCTGAAAATGTAGTTTGTTCTAGTACTTGAATCCAGGTATACAATATGAGAGGGTTAAAAAAAGAAGATTCTTTAATTTGCTGCTGTTTAATTTTAAGTTTTATATAATAAATCTTTTGCTTACTTACAGGTCCTTTGGTCCCATTCTTCATCTTGTTAGATGCTACCAGTCCCTTGCCTCGCAGTACTGGGCAGTATGGGCACTATGCAATCTCACTCAAGTCTATCGTAAGTATTCTTAGATCAGTTACTGTAGGTAATAGGTATGAAAATACATTATACAAACCTCTAACTTTGGACTGGGTATGCTGCCAAGGGAGCAAAGGCTGCCATACTGATTTTTCAGCTGTTTTTGTTTTTAGCTTTGTGAAATCTTGGTGAGTCCATCTCACTGTCACTGATATAGAGAGAGAAAAATCATAAGTTGTTTTCTTAAGCTAGAAACTTTACATTCATTGCTTGGTACTGGTTGGTTCCAGGAATGGATTCCAGAGTGTTTCAATAAGCTTATAGCTTCCACAAATCAAACAGAAATTAATTCCTATAAACTAAACTAAGATAAGTTTCAGGGGAAAAATGGCTTATCAAAGCAAATGTTTAATATTTTGTTTTACTTAATTACATATGGTAACATAATGACTACAAATCTTCAAGTTAGAGAAAAGCTGGTTTGGCAAATATATAAATTTATTTGCACTGAGGAGTTAAGTACCAAGTTTTTTTTTTTTTTTTTTTTTTGATATCATTATTAATAAAATTGTATTAGTTTTGATAAATTGAATATCATGTTGACATGATGGTGACAAACTCTGCTATATTAATAATGGAAAAGCATATTTAACGTAGACCAAAAAGTCATATTCACTAAGGAGAATTTTGATAAAAAAAAATCTCTTTCTTCCATATACTTTCTTTTTTAGCAGCCATTTGCAAACTGATTTTAGGAAGATATACAGAATCATATTGTAGTGATAGATTGTGCTCATTGCCACTTTAATTTATAGGTTTTATTATGTGATACGAGTAAAATTGATGAACTGAGAGGATATAACTTTTTCACCTGTATATTTTTAATCTGTTTCAGCGGAGAAATATTGCCAGCTATTGAAGGATGAAGGAGGGTTAGAGTTACTGGAGATAGTGACTAAAGATCCTAGACCTATTCCTGCAATTAAAACATTGGCTCAGCAAGTGGTCACTTTTATAAACAATAGGCATGTTTTACCACCTAGAGATAATGATGAAATGAATGGTGATGTTGTAAATGGGAATCAAGAGTAATGGAATAAAAGTGGTAAAATGCAAATCTGATGAACCAAAGGCGGTCAAAAGCATAGCTGACAAACCAAACGTGGTAAAATGCATTTTTGATGAAATGTAAAATACTTTGCTGATGATATAGAAGTGATAAAATGCACTAAACAATAAACTAGAAATGACAAAAACCTCAATAATGAAATAGAAAGTGTGAAAATGCATAAGTGGTTAAACTGAAAGTGGTAAAATGCTTTAATGATGGAATAAAAGGGTAAACTGTATAAATGATAAAAGGAAAGTGGCAGATACATTGTACCAGTGGGAAATTGTATATACAAGGATATAGAAGTGGTAAAATTCATTTGGGATGAGGCAAAATGTGAAGGGCATCAATGATTTACCTAGGCATAAAGTTTGATTTTCTGCAGTAATAAAACTTCGCTCCGTTCCCAAGGTTTTGGCCATTAAAAATTGTTGTCTTTGTAAATCAGACTATTTTGAAAAGATTTATAATGTTTTTTGCCGTAGATGTTGTCAGTTTGTCCTTACGACTTTCTGACTTAACCAACCTACTATTTGTTATAGCACCTTCATTGTTTGACTCACATAAAACATATGGTCTTAAAGGGACCTTTAATTGACCTTTACTCTTGGATTGGATTTGAGGTTTGTATGTCAAGACAAGCCATTGAGGCTAAAAATAGATTTGTTTTGAGTCCTTATTTATTCGTCAGTTGTTAGATATATGGTATATTGTAACTATACATGGACAACTACTGTTTGTGGTATGGTTTAAAGTCTATGGTGTCAAGGTCAAGATCATGTACACTAAAAATGATTCTTTTTTTATCTTTTTCTTAAAATTGGGCAATGTTTTTAGCCATATCTGGGAGTATGCAGTTAGTGTTGCCCATATTTTGTTTCAAACAGCATGTTGGTGTTAAACTTATCATTCATTGAATCAAACATAAGCACATTTATATTATTGATAATTACCATTATTTGAGGGAATCTTAGAAAAACTTACAATTTCTTCATTGGTAGGGGTCATTTTGGTTTCTTATAAATGTTCTATTAAATGGTTATAGTTTTTGTATGCAAATGTGAAACTTTTTCTTACAAAACCAATTATGCGCTATTTCATGAAATTTAGTGAATTTGACTTTTGGACTTGATGTTTATTTCATATTATACTGTAAAGTTACCATTTGATGATAAAAGTGTTACAGTATTTTTATAATGTAATATTATTAATACTTACTGAACCTGCATGGAAGTTGTTCATCATCAGTCCTGGAAACAGCTGTCAGATATACATGTGTACATACTTATATGAAATGATACAGTGTTTTGTTTAGTTATATCAGTATCATACAAGATGTTATCATGTGGCATTATGTTAGGTTATACTCCATGTTTCCTATGTTTTTATTTATATGATGATTGGTATTTTTGGTGAGGCTTGAATTAGGCTAAATTTGATTATGAAATCAATTTGCTAAGATTTGACCATTGAATCGTCTGCAAAATAGACTACTCATATAATTACACAGAAAAGACCTATGAAATTTAAATGAAATTTAAATGAAATTTAAATGTTAGACCTCTTTTCTGTGTACTTTTCACCTGAGTCTGTTATTACCATGATCAGGTGTTAATGGCGGCATACCAATAACATAATGACAGCTAAAATCCAAAGACCTACTCTTGTCATATTAACATAGAACAGTAATAAGCAGCAAGATAAGTCAAGTATTGAAATATGCCATGATGAGGGGTAAACTTTCGTATAGCAACACTGTTCAAACCTGTTTTCTAAAGTGTTGTGATGAACCATTAGTATGTACTTACAACCTGTAATAACTTTTTGACACCAAACAAGCATTATTGTAAAAACAACATGTTTTTGAAAAATTTATACTTTACAATATGTAAAAGTGTGTAAAGAAGTATTTTGTTTACATCATTAAGTGCATTTAGCTTTCAAATCATGAAAATAATTTGTTAAAAAGTGTTGAATTACAGTTTGAATCATCAATTTTTTTAGATTGAAAGATGATAAAGTAAGTTTTTTTTAGATCGAAATACAATGTATGTTATATATAACCAATGATAGAATGAGTTGGTTTCATGCAGATAAGCATAATTTTTACATTTACACTATGTACTAAATTGTATAAGTTTGGCATGATGATTGTTTGCCTTAAACAGCAATGAAATTTAACAATTATATTTTTATCCCTATTTTTGTTATGTCAGTGCCATGGTTCCTATACCATGGTTATATTTTCATCTATCACAATGATGCCACTGAGTATAGAAATTTGTATTAATTAATTGACAAAGGTTGATAATTGTCAATCTACCGTTTTTGATGTGCGGAAAACTGTTTAAATGTGATAGAATACCAACTTTGTGAGAACTAAAGAACATCGTTTGTGTCTTTTATATATGTGGTGGTGTGGCCGAGTAGTTTAACTTGTCGGAACTAGTAATATTAGGATTGATGACAATGTGGGTTTAAACCCCGTCAAGGGCAAAAGTCATTGTTTCTTTGAGCAAGAAATTTTACACTCATTGCTAAGTACTGGTTAGTTCCAGGAAAGGATTCGAGAGTGTTTCAATAAGCTGATAGCTTCCAGCACAATCAAACGAAAGTAATTTCTTATAAACTAATGTTTATTATATTTGTGTTAATTCTAACCTTTTTATTTATTTGCAATTAGTGCTAATTAAAACTCAACCTTGTGATAATAAGTGATTTATTTTGTACATTGTTTTTTTCAACATATATATGTTACCTTTAAGTTACTTTTTTGTGATGCATTATTGATTTGTTATGCCCAACTGAGTATATTGTAAACTATGCTTACATTATGAAATAAACAATTTTGAATCATGAAAGTTTTACTAATTATGCTACAAATTAGACATACCCCAATTTTATTACAAATGTCTGCAGTCTTGTAAGAAATTACCACAGTTTCGTTACAAATCACCACAGTTTCATTACAAATGACCACGGTTTTGTTACACATTTTTGCAATTCTGTCACAACTATGTGACTGTGGCTAATATGATTCACAATGAAAATATAAATGAGTCTTCATTACCTTACTGTCTATTATTTATGTATGTTTATGTAATAAATAAAGTTCAGTTGTCTCCAGTTTTTGCAATTGAATATAGGTAGGGCAATAACAAATATGCTCTTCTAGTCAATAAATAAAAACCAGTAAATTATGTGGTATATTATTACTTGCCCAGTAAATGACCGAAAGTTGTAAAACCTTATACATACACTTTTTTATGGTATTAAATGTGCATATTGGTTTTTCAAATTGTTTTTTTTGTTTGTTTGTTGTTTGTTTTTAATATAAGACCATTAAATTGAAAATTATGGGCATGGATATTCGATGAAACAGATACCCTGATTTTAGTTTTCATATTGAGTTATTGCCCTTGAGTCAGTAAAAAATTCGAGGCATACTAATGACTTCTCTTCTATAAATTATATAATGTTTTCAAACCTTACATGCAAAATTATTGCAATAGAAATTTGTGTATGCTCTGTTAACAGTTTCTAAATACCATAGTGATGGTTCTTGATATAAGCAGCATTTATCCAGAGTTATTACCCTTGACTAAGTCCTAATTTTCCCTTGAAAATGATCAATATTAGTCATATTGACTTGATTTATTGATATCAACATAGTGTGAGAATATGAATTATATTTGCTTTATATGTTGAATTCATGGTGTTTAAAGTATAATAATGAATTTCATGTAATAATGATATTATTATTATATGATTTATTTAAGTCATCATTATGTGAGATTAATTAGTATAGATCTTGTTTGATTTATTTAAAAATTCATAATTAAAGAAAACTTTTTATGCAAATGCAATAAGTTTATCAAATTTTATCAATTTACAACAAATCAATGTATAGTGATATAATTTTACAATGTTAATATTTCACATTCATTGTAATAGGAGTAGCTGCAATTATCCAGGTAAGATGAAATGAGACAGGTGGTTTGAGTCTGGTAATATAAGCTTGGTGATATGAGACTGAGATCAGATGTGAGATGAGGTGATGTGAAATGGGGTGAGATTGGGTGACACGAGTAAATTGAGATAAGGTGATGTGAGATAAGATGAGATTAGATGAGGTTATGTGAAAAGAGGTGAGATTCGGTGATTTGAGTGAATTGAGGTGAGGTGGTGATGTGAGATGAGGTGAGATTTCGTGACATGAGTGAAATGAGATGAGTTGATGTGAGATGAGATGAGGTATGTGAGATGAGATTAGGTGAAGTGATGTGAGCTGAGATGCTGAAAGATAAGGCCAAATGAGAATACAAATAAACAACACAAACGAGAGCATAATGATTCCTATATGTCACTGTAAAGTAAATTTAGTATTGGAATCAAATGACTGTTTTATCAGATGAATATAAGATTGGCAGTTAATTGTGGATGCAAGGGTCTAACTGATGACTGGTTGGGTAGGGATTGTAGATGGTGATGGTTCTTACTCCTTCAATAAAGCTTAAAATATTACTAGAAACCTTGTGTAAAATTGAAATTATATCTTTTTTTTTTAAATAGTAAGTCAATGTAATATATATTTATGTGTGATGCTGATATATTATTAATCTATGTAGCTTTTTTATTGTGAAGATAGATATACTTTAATAAATTTCACCATTAAAGGGCAAACTGAATATTGTATAAAGTTATGCAGCTGTGTTTTCATTGTAAAATGTGAAGCTAGATTATGTTAATTTTTTGTCCTTTTTCAGTTGATTTTTTTTCTGGTAAAAGCACATGTATCAGTTATATACCATAAGTTTGTGCTTTCGGGTATGTGTTAAGTTTATTAATAAAACGTTTGAACCTATTTAACAGTTTTTCGTATTTGTTTTTACACGCCTGAAGACATTGGGCCAACAAAATTATATGTATTATATGTATTTGAAAATATTTCTTCCAACAATATTTTATTGAGCAAAATATCGTTTCTGCTAAATTCACGGAATACTTGTTTTCATGTAAATGACAATGTTTCCTCTTGTCGAAACGTTAAATGGACCAGACCATTCAAAGTTTAAATATAAGTACTGAAAATGTAACAATCGGTTTCAATATGTAATGGATACAGTACGAGTTTTTTTTTCTTCAAAAGTGTATTGCTCGGATAAACAACAATATGTCCGAGGCGATGCCGATTATAAATTGTTGTTTGTCATAGCGAACTGTCTTCTTACGTCTGTTCTGGGACAGAATAACAGAATATTCTGTCCCAGGTCTGTAAGAAGATGCTTTTGAAGAAAATGTGAGTAGTTGTATCGGACTTATACGGCGATTAAACACCTTTATTTAAGGACATATAAATAAACCACACATAAAATTATAAGTGAATTTAATTGAAAATAAATGTATGGTCTTATTGAAAATATTTACATGGCCTTCAGACATTATAAGGTTATCGCACGGAATTTTCGTGCACTTATTTCAGTCGGACATAATTTCATTATTTATAAACGATGTTAAAATGGATGCCTTTAATAGTCATTTAACCAAAATCAATTATGTCGGATCAAACTGGATCAATATTTACACAGACTCTTAACATGCATATGGATAACGTTTTAGACTTCAAATTTGGCAAGGTAAGATTCCTTATCCGCATACTTAACGCAATGTTATGGGCAATATTAAGGGCCGTATCCGAAGTATAACCTCCGTCAACACTTCAGTATTTGCATCCTACTGATAAGAAAAGTTAGAGCTAACTATTATTTAAACAATTATGTTTGAACGCTTGTTACTAATAAATAAATATTTTTAGATATTATGAATTGTGGAACTGTTTCAACACGCATACCAATTGTATTCTATTTTATATTGTCTGTATGACAATATATAAATTTAATTTGATTTCTATTTTGGAAAAATACGAGAAAAGACTTTTAAAAAGCTTTTTTTTAAACCGGGGAAACCGTCCTAGTTTTATGAAAAATTCCTTGGCTTTTTAAACCCAGTTTTTTAAAATAGTACATCCAAAAGGTTTGTTTTCCAGATAAACCCCTTTTATGAACCGAAATTGCGGAAAATTAATTTCCTTTTTTTAATTATAAATTTAGGTGAAATACCAAAAAAAAGTAAAAATTAATTTTAAAAAAATTTGAACATGATAAATTGTTATCCGGCTTGTTTCCTTTGTAATTGTACCGTATTTTGTCAGTAGGGGAAAAATAAATTTTATTTAAAAGGCCTAGGTCTCAAAGAACTACTGAAATAATGTCTTAAAACTTCGATCATATACTTATTTGAGATCATTAAAGGCATTAACTATCCAAGGCCCATATTTCTAATATGGATTTTGACAGAACTTTGGTCCTTTTCTTACCTAGAATATTCTGCATTATCCAGGCTTTATCAAGCACTGCAAATAGTCGGGCACACTTCTCCTTTGAAGAACTTTTATTATATTCAATGGTACTAAATAAGCTACAAATCTCGAAAGAAACATGCAAGAATTATCGCGAAGCTTTCTTACATTATGATTCTCACGAGTATTAAAATTAAGTTCAACGTTGGATGGTGCTAAGAAGTTCAAGCGAGAAAAATGTGTTGCACATTCAACTGGCCCATGTAGGACATCGTATATTTCAGCTGCTGAAGGTAACAGTTATTTAAATAGCTCTGCGGGGGTAAATTCGTATAAACTATTGCTACACATATCGTTTATACACAGATTATTCCTAAAGAAGCTCTTTTGAGATTTAAAGAAATATACCCAGACTTAAATTGAATAGCCATTATTTATAGCCAATTTTGAGTTTAAACTGTCAAAGAGCTTTTCATTTCATGGATCATTAAGTACAAGTAATACGATTATTCTGGAAAAACGGAGCGAGCGAATGATCTTAAAATTTGCTCACAAGACATTAAGGGGAAACTCAAATCCCTGGGAATAATAATATCTGTCATATGTTGCGGTTCGGATCGGAATATCCGACCCGAGGTGATCCGCCCATTGGGCGGTAACGAGGCTTGCCGAGTTACCGCCCATGGGCGGGTGACCGAGGGACGGATATTCCGATCCGAACCGCAAACATATGTCAGATATTTTTTCTTGCATAATCTACCATATTCCATTATATTTTAAATTCTTTATCTTTATTTTCAATGAAAATTTACATCATTACAACCGTAACTACTTTCATTCAACAGCGTATGAATTACAAAATCATTCATAACGGTAAAATGACGTCATCTTTATCGTGCCATTGTGCAGCACGCAACTCATCTGGAACCCCCCATGCCAGATGAAATTTCCGGCATGGGTAAAACTAACGGAAACGCCAGTCTGATATGCAAGAAAAATATTTTCAGTCCAGTTATATCCAAAAACCTGTTGTCTGGAGCCCCTTTAATAATAAGTACCAAGTATATCTGAAATGAAAACGAATGTTAACGGCTTAATCTACGAAACGATTATTTTAATTATAACAAAGTTTTATAAAGCCAGAAAACACCAAAACCACTAATGTAATCCACTGGCCTTTTTCATATTAAAACGTCAAAGTATTTTGACTAATTGAATTAAACGTCAAGATGTATCTACTAATATTGAATTATATGTAATGGTTACAGCTAGTTTCCTGAAACAAAAATGTCATGTCATGCTATAAAAGAATCTTCACATTTTAATTTGACATTCCTGATGATTTTGCAAGCAATTAAAATTCCCATTTTAATGTTCAAACTTAAACATAACCAACAAAGTTATTTCAAACCAATTGTTTCTGTAAATAATTAGCTTTTTTATATCTTTCTTACAGAAATATTATCCCGTCCTTATCAGGGTAAACATTATTTGACCTAAGAAATGAGAAAAGGTAACTTAATTTCTTATGTTCTTTTATAGGGGCTAATTACCAGGTTTTGATCTTTGTACAAAAAGCTAGATTAGAATATGCCACAAACTCGTTATATGGGTATAACAATTATTGTAAACGGAGCCGGATTTTCTGTATCTCCCTGTTGAAGCCGTCAAGAGTAAGACGGTACAGACTCAATCGATCAGACCGAGTCTGCACTTTCATGTTATTTTGTTGCGATTAATGCTTCCGATGGATCACTTTGTTGCCAGGTTTTTTCTTCTTAAAGTTTGAGGGATTGGTTGTGTCTGGGAAGCTCTTCAGACAGACTAGGGTACACTTGTGCCCACTTGCTGAGCAAGTAGTCAAATGTTCGGAAGATATTTCGTAAGACAATATGGTCATTTCGATTAAACGGTAAAAAAAATCGTAAACGTTTAGGAATGAAAATAGAAACGAATCCGTTTAAACGTTTAACCGTGGGGCCCTTAATTGTGATATTAGTGATTTTTGACTGTTATTTTTCTGTTTGTTTGTTGTTATAACCAGTTGCATATTATATGCCTTGGTTTAATAAAAACTGAAACTGGAATATCCACCATGTTTGAACTATACAAAACAGCCCACGAAACATGACAAAATTTTTTGCTTTGACCACATAGCTTTTTATGAAATTCTCTGTAATAAGTCTCATCGCTCTTGTAGTGTATGCCACTTACAGTATGTCATTAATTTAATGAGAAACAAAAACCCTTTCTGTCTCTGTAATGTGGTATATTCTGTAGACCGTTTTACTTTTATTATACTCAAAATATACAGTACAAATTTGATACCGTGAATATCAAAATTAAAACAACCTTTGACTACGTGACTAAACCTAAAGATCGTGACTCTGCAAAGGCATACATGGTTTACACAGTTACTTCCCTTTACAGTACAAAGTCCATTTACAGGTGCGGAAGTGTTAACAATTATTTGCAAATATTTTAAATGGAAAATGACTCTGACAACTGAACAAGTCAAGCAGGTATGAAATTTCAAAGATTTATATCTCATTCTGTTAATTTTAAATATAGATTTTGTTAAATATAATACAGAAGCAATAAAAGTTGAATGTTAATCGTATGTACACATAATTCGGACAAGTATTCTTTTAACACTGTTTAACACTGTTTAACAATGCTTAATAACTAGGTCTATATGATTGTGTAGCAGATAAACGTCTAACAGTTTTAATTTTGCCTACTAGTATATGTTTTTATGAAAACTCCGTTTTTAGGAAAACTCCGGAAAACGTAGAGATTTAAATTGATTTAAAGGTTAACTATTCTCAAATTTGATATTCGGAAATATTGATGATTGCTACACTGTGAGTCTCCTTAAAAATATAAAATATGAAATATTTTTTTATATAAAAATAAGTTAAAACTTTTTTCGTTTGAAATAATGATATAATAGTGATGAGTTGACCGTAATGTGGACAAGTTCACTCGATCATCAAAAGTTGACAGAAAGTAAGGAACAAGTTGACTAAAAAGAGGGCAAGTTGACCAGGGGATGAGTTGATTTTACAAAATAAATTTGAGGAATACTACCTTTTTTATAAACAATAATTGGTCATTTTTGTTTGCTTTTGATGAATTATAAAAAAGTATTAAAAACCTGTAGTGTAGATGTCAACACATTTTTTTTGTTATACCAAGTCACTATTGGTCGCATTATATCACTTATTGTTTAGGCCAATTTTGATGTTAATTAATTAACTAAATAAATACATGTATATACTGGTACATGTTTGTGTCAGATAGACACCTATGTTTAATTGAAATCTGATTGACATTTAACATTTTAAACTTAACTTTAGTTTCAGGATGAAGGTTATTTGATTTTGGAAGATTTTGTTGATGATGCTACAGTGGAATCTCTGAAGTCAGAATGTCACCGTCTGATCGAAGAGATGAATCCAGCTGATCATAACACTGTTTTTTCTACTTTAGAAATGAAAAGGGTAGGACTGATTCAATCACTGGTATATTATACAAATACAATACCAAAACAACAAAATGTTGTTATATGTAGAGGATATTTGTTTGTTTCAGTGATGTTTGGAAATGTATTTCACTGAGTGTCAGTGAGTGAACATCAATTTATATTTTTTTTTACATTTTACTTTGATGGAGTGTATTTCTATAGAAATTACACATGCAGGGCTCGAATTTAACACTCGCAAACTAGCAAAATGCTAGTTGAAAAATGATTTTGCGAGTTAGATTTATGACTACTCGCATTTTTTTGCGAGTTGAAGAAAAAACGGAATACGCTCGTCAGGAAAATCGGGCGTAATATTCGCAGGTAGCCGAGTTATAAACTATGCGCGCACTTGCTGTCTGGTTTACATTTTCTATACCTTAACCTCGCTTAAAAACGTAGACAAATTTAAACCAGTCCAAATGTCATTTTGTCCGTGTAAATCAAGCGTGATCGGAATAAAATGTCTAAACGAAAAATAACGAACTTCTTCCCACTTACTGAAGCAAATGTGTCTTCTGATAACAATACTCTGAGTACAGAAGATGGTTCACAGTCTATCAAAAGAAAGACAATCAGACCTTCAGTTAAAACGGTTAAAAAATGGGAGAAAGAACTGCACGTCAGTCTTAGGTACGAACTCGATGACGATGGAAATGTTGCCAAAATATTTTGCACCGATTGTTGTGCGCATAATCCAGACTAGACATTGTCGGTATGGCGACAATATTGCATTATTATTTTTTTACAGGTAGATTGACATTTGATAAGAATCCTTGTCCCCTAAATCAAGTTTTTGAGTAGAAAGTTACGTTGCTGATTCGTACCCCGGGCAGTTCGAACTCGTCCAAATTAATTACAATTTTAATTTTGTTATTCTCTATATCCAGCAACAACTTTGTCTTTCAGCAAATCAAATAATTAAACTTAAAAATGAAGTATTATAATTTTTTTCATGCCCAATTTCATGATTAAATCAGCTTTTTATGCAGAAATAAAAAAAAAATCTTTCATATCAATCTTGTTAATTTAATCATTTATTTCAGTGAGTTAAAATATAAGATAGTTTTATTCTTTATTTTGAGTTGTTCCAACATGACAATTGAGATACAACAATTGAATGAACTCAAGTTATAACAAACTACTGTAAATTTATGTGTTGTACTACAACATTTATTAACGGCAGCACGAACTACCCAAATATACCCAAATACACCCAAATATACCCAAATATAGCAATATTTATTTTTGTTTGTATAAAATATAGATTATAATGGGGAATAAATGAATATTTATAAAATAATATCACTTAGTCTGCTATAACTTTCATTCATTCCGTTGAAATTGGCAGTTAAGATGTAAGAAAATAAAGTTGTGACATTTGCTTAACTACTATATAGGTTCTTTGTGAACGTACTTGCAATTTTAAATCAAGATATGATATTTGTTGTCTACACTTACATTTTTAAGGTGTAATTTTGTTGAAATTTCATGTCATAATTAAACAAGTGTCCATGTTATTTAAAAAAAAATATAGCTTTAATAGAGTGCATATACTCTATACAATGATAGGAAAATGTATATTTGGGTATGTTTGATTATATCTTAGTGAAAGTGTATATTGTATTCATGATTAAAACCACTTTTTTAGTATAAAACATATATTTTTAGTATAATTGGGCAATATTTGGGTATATTTAGGCAATATTTTGGTATATTTGGGCAATATTTGGGTATATTTGGGTGTATTTGGGTATATTTGGGTATTTCGTGCTGCCCTTTATTAATAAAAACATTTTCAATAAAATTCATTATCATGATACATAATTGTAACAACAATGAATTAATTATTATGGTACATGATAATTCAAACAATTAATGAATGTACACAAAAGTTTTAACAATTTTGGAATTAAAAAATCATTGTTGTAAAAAGTGCTAGTTGAATTCAGTTTTTGCTAGTTAAAAATTTGTCCACTAGCAAAAAATTGCTAGTGGCCAAAAAAGTTAAATTTGAGCCCTGACATGTACAGTCCATTAATGATATATGCTAGTTATCTGCATTCAATTTCAAGCTTAGTTGAGCTGCAATGAAATGTTATTTTATTAATTGAATCAATGCTAGTGAAGTGTTGAAGATTGAATACTGCTTAAGTCAATGCTAGTGTTACTGGGAAATGTTGCATCATTCATTTTCTGTTGTCAACAGACTCAATTATACTAAATCTGCACCTTTTTACTATAAACTTTTGTTTTTATTGCTATCGGTTGGATCTCTCCTGTCCAGAATTTTAGATAGTGTAAATTTGATATATTTTACAGACAAGCGATTCCAGTATTTTAGATAGTGTAAATTTGATATATTTTACAGACAAGCGATTCCAGAATTTTAGATAGTGTAAATTTGATATATTTTACAGACAAGCGATTCCAGTATTTTAGATAGTGTAAATTTGATATATTTTACAGACAAGCGATGACTACTTTATGACAAGTGGTGATAAAATCAGGTACTTTTTCGAGGACGGTGCAAAAGATGAGAAGGGTAAGTGAAGAAATGCAACATTTCAAGAAAGTGTATGCAGTCAGTCTATAATTAAAACTGCAGGTGATATAAAATGATTGAATTAGTCACATTTTTCAAGGTGCTTTTCTTGTGCCATTTATTATTATCTATTCTTTGATATTTGTTAAACATGTAATAGTGTTCAAAATAAGAGGAAAATAAAGTTTTATATGTTTGACATAAAGTGAGAAAAAAAGGACTCCATCCACTATTCACTATGGTGAATCCTGGTAAAATTTATTTGTCTGTGTTTGATATTATTATTTATTATAGTGATATAGTATATATATACTAGCATGTACATGTATATATAAATTGTACCCTGCTGAATTGTAAGTAATGGACAGGTGCTGCTGTGGAACTGTCAGTTGCAAATTTGAGAGAATTAAAAATCAAAGTACAAGTACTACTGATTGTAGGGATTTGTAGGCTTGCTTGTAGGTGGTATTGATAAATTATTGTATCTTGTAGTATTATATGATTTAATCTATGTGGAATGTTCTAATTTCCTATTTCTCCTGTTTTCTTAGGTAATCTTAAAGTTAACAAACATTTGGCAATCAACAAAATTGGACATGGTAATTGTTTTTAAATTATTTTATTCTTTAAAACAAATGAAACTATAACAATGCTGTCTTGTTCCTTGTAAGTTAACAAAGTGTCATATATTTACCAAAGTGTCATATTTATTCTGTTTAGCAAAGAATTAACTGTGCATTATCAGTGTATTTAAGCACAGGTTAAAATCTATTCTAAGACAAAAGGAAATATTTTGCATATTTGTACATGTTGTACCAGTGCCTGACTTTCTAGAAAGTTAATTGTTAGAAAAATTTGATGAAATTTTAGTTAATGAGAGATTAAGAGACTGGCACCAGAGTCATATGTCATCACCATAAAAATTAAAATGTATGCATTAATCAATACGAGTTGAGTCCGCATACAATACAAATACCCCATTTTAAAATTACAAAATGAAATCTGGAAATCACATTGGCCATTCAATGATTTACTAGACTAGTTATATGTCCTTTCTCGTATTATTTATATGTACATGTTAGGTACAGATGTGTAAACCTTATCAGTTACACTAGATTATCATATCCTTGTCATAATTAAAAGGAATTACTGCCAGTTCCTAAGAACAAGAATAGTCAAGCATCATTGACTGTGTTTGTTAAAGGGCTACATTTTTAGATCACATAATCCTATTTGAGAATATATTTAGATTTTTTGCCAACTCTTCAAATCATCTAATATACAGGCTTTTAAAAAAGTATATATACCTTTTCTTTATCAGAGTACCTTAAGGCTTGCAATGATTACAAGATATACTTGCAACCATATACATTGTATATATAAATGTGGCATTTTCTTACAAAGACTTTTACTGTTACAGCTCTTCATGTGTTAAGTGAACCATTCAAAAAGGTGACATTTAGTCCAGAAATACAGGTATGTAAAAATGTTGTCAAGGAAAGGAATGGTACCATCTATGTTATTGTGTTGTTTTTTTGAATTGCTAAAACATGTTAAGATGTTGTATTTTAAAACATTTAAGACAAGTATAGTGAGATGATTGTAAAAGGATCAATTCATTTTAGCATTAAATAGTTATTGCCCCTTACTTAGTAAAATAGAAAATGTGCATACTTATGTTTGTATTTTTTCCAGCCATCTGTTGGTAGCCGTAAGTGTCATCTAAATGATATGTGTGTGTGTTTGTGTGATAGTGTTCTTATATCAGCTTTGTTATATTGATGATTGTGTGACTCAGAGTTGTCTCCCTGCATATTAAGTGACCTTTAACAAAGGGGATCATGAGTTATTGCCCCAGATTTATTTGCAATTTCTCTGCTGCTTTATTTTAAATTTATGACCTGACAATTAAATGCAGTGTGATAATGACTTTTGAAAGTGTGAGAACTGGCAGTTAAAGGGGCTGATAAGTTTGTCCATATGTTTTGAAGAATTTCTCTTTGGAGTGGCAAGAGATGTGATAAAAGGAGCTTAACTTTAACAGAGCTTTGCCGAAGTTATCAAATTCTGCTTAGCTTTGATTTCTTTTTTGAAATTGATGTGGATATCTTTTTCTACTAGTTTAACTTTTTGCATAGAATATAATGAAAAGTTATCATAATGATAGTGGTCCATAATAAGCATGCACAAGTAGGACATGCATATTTAAAGGAATGGAAATGGATTTCAAAATGGTATCATTTTCATGATACATATATTGTATTAATGTGCTGAATCTTAATATGCTTTTACTTCTTTGCTGAAGAGATTTTTAAACATTTCATTGCTTAATAACTATAAAATAATTATTGCAGTTTTAAAGCTTTCTAAGACCTTAATTGCAGCTTACACATTTCTTGTGGTAATTCCCTGTTTCTTTATAGAAAACCGTTATGAGTTTTGTATTAAATGTCAGTTAGATAATATTATGTTAGATGTCAAGGGCACAGTTATAAAATGTCTAGGTCATTGTTATTCAATGTCATTTCATTGTTATTTGTTACCAGGTATCTTAATAAAGTTTTTCTATTGATATTTGAAGGATGGTTTGATTTATAATTTCATTGTAAGTGAATGATAGGCATTTTAGTTTAAATACTTATGTACATGAACTAGTTGAAAGGTCAAAGGTCAAAATGATAATGATGATAATTGTCTTGGCATACATAGACTAAAGCATTTAATCATCTACTTCAAGTAAATCTTGTGTGTAAGCAAATATTGTGTGATAATTGATCATGACTCGTAGATAGATAACTAATATTGTAAAAGATCAAATTACAAGAAAATAACTCTACCCTAGAAATGCTTACGATGTTTTGCATAAAACTTTGAGAGGTTTGTTCATATATTTAGGAAATTATTCACAGAGTACTTATGGTCTGAATCTTTGTCACACTGTCATTTAAATCATATGATTTAGAGAGGCAGAATTTTTACTTGGATAATTAAATTAACTAATATTATTAATACTCATTAAGTCATCGATCATTGTGCTTGCTTTTCCTCCAGAACTAGAGTGAGTTCTGCTTTGTCAGACAGCTGTCTGTAGTCAGTTGTTTGATTTATTTGGTTACTTCTGTCTATCATAGACCATAACAGTACAGACTTCTAATCTAACTGTTGGTGTAATAGTAATATTTGGTTCTTTAATAACCATTTAATTTGTAAAGGACAAAAAATAAAGTATATTTAGAATCTAAACTTGTTATCAGTGTTATTTTTATGGTTTATAATTATCAGTTATCTTTTATTTGAAAAGTCAATACAGAATATTATTAATTGCCGTGCAATTTATTGTTAATACTTACATTTTTGCATTAAACAATGAATTTTGAATTTGTTTCTCTATTGCTTTTGTGAAAATTACATATTATATACTTGTATATGTGCAATGGTTTTGCACTTCGTTGAAATATAGCAATGAACATATTTGAATATATATGGCATATGATAAAGACTTTTGTTATTGAATTAACTAACATAAACATAAGGTTAATTATACGTTACTGAATTCATACAGGCATTTTGTTATTCTAATTTTATGTGGGTATTTGTTTTTACACTGATTTGGCATTTAGTATGCACCGTTTCATCCAGTCTTTATGGGAATCAGGTATATAATGGCATAAAGTGTCCATTTTGTTATTGAGTTTATAGGGATATTTGTTATGTAGTTCATTATTGAATTTATTTTGGCATTTTTAAATTTTTTGTCTGTGTTATCTTATTTCAGTGGGCACTAAGAGTATATTTTGCTATTTACTTTATATAGGCATTGGGCATGCTATTTGAATTATCAAATTTAAATGGGCATAACGTATATTAATTGTTATAGATTTTTTTATGGGCATTGGTTGCAATATGTTACAGAATTTATTTAGAAATTTGGCATGCATCTTATATCATTGAATAGGCATCAAGTATACAATTTGTTACTGAATTTTTATGGACATTGCTGCAAGTTGCTATTGAATTTATGCAAACATGTAGCTTTTGTTTATTTTATTGAATTTAAATGGGCATTGGGTAAATAATTTGTTTTTTTCATGAACAATAAGTGTGCAGGTTGTTATGAAGTAATGAACCTGTGGCAGTCCATTTTTAACTGAATTTTATTGAGGCATTTCATATTTCTTTGTTACTGAATTTTAATGGACAGTTTATTATGCAACTTATAAAACAATTATATAAGTATAAGTTTATTTCTGTATTTATTTGAGCATTTGGTATTTAAATTATTTTATTGAATGGAATGACTAAATGTTTTACAAAAAATATGATGAAATAGTAGTTTATTGTTAGAGGAAATGTTATTTTGTTTTGTACCAGAGTATAATACTGTATAAAAGTGTTGCCAGGAAATGAAGCATATTAAATATTTGATGATTTCAGGGTGTAGCAAAGAGTCTTGGCCTGGAGGATCCTGTAGTCTGTCAGAGTATGTACATATTCAAGGTTTGTGTCCTAACTTTCCTGGAATTATTTCCTCCCAATGTTATTTGTCATTTTACATAGAGAGCATTTAAACCTCAAACATAATTTCAAAATTTATGATATCTATGGTAACTTGTGTTCCACTCAGGTGTGTGAGTTTATAACATGGAAATCTCAAGCCTTTTTTTTGCCTAGAATCTTTTCAGACACAGTTTATTAGCTATGCTGTTTTCTTTTGTTGGATTAGGTTATTAATGAAGAATTATTTTCATTTACTTGATGAAAATAATCAGAATCTTGCTCTAAAATGGAGAGATACCAGTAATCTTTGCTAGCTATGTGTTTAACCTTCAAGTGAAAAAACTTGATATGATAATATCACACTTATGCCACAAGAATAGAGTCAAGTCTGCCATTTTATGCCAACACAGCATTCATGTAACTGAAATGTAACTGAGATGCTTGTAATACCTTTAATTCAAACATATTTCTATTGAAAAAAATAATTTAAATTTTGAAAAATAAATTTGAATCATTTTGCTGCATGATGATTTTTAGTTTAGCTTTCATAAAACAAATAATACAGGTTTTTTTCTTTGTCTCATTTCAGCAACCAGGAATTGGTGGGGAAGGTAAACAAATAACATGTGTTTTTATCAATCAAGACTTATATGAATGAGTTTATCTTGTCCTAGACAAAAAGTATTATTTCAGTACATATTTTTGTGGTCTGAAAACATTATGTCTTCAGTTCTTTTTCTAGTTTTTGTTTGTCATATATTTCTATACATTATTTATATTTTATAAAAAAGATAATCAAAACTTGTTTGCATCATATTTGATGTGGTCACAGTCATCTTCATATGTACTTTATATTTCGTTGCTTTGTCTTGTTGAGTTACAAATCTAAATTGGTTAATTATCATGCATAAAATTTTGTATATATATTGTAATATCTCCAGTATCAGTGGGTAGATCTGAAGTCTTATTGTTACCTTGCCATATTCACTGAATAAGCATAGACCTTCATTACCTTGATCTCCTATATGACCTCGAGTTTTAAGGCAAGATTGTCAAAATTTATGTCATATCACTACTACTAAGTTAACTGTTTCTATGAAACTTCCTGATGGTGGTGTTGTTGGTAGTTTACACTCCGGATCAGAGCAGTAAGCCTCATTAAATGTACCAGAGCACAGTTCAGCCATTGCATCATTCCTGGGCAGGCTGTCAATCTGTTTCTCAGTACTAGTTCCTTTTACTTTTGAAAGGAACTGATACTTTTTTCACATACCAGAGCAAATAAAAGGTACAGTGCAAATGACAGTAGAAAGGACTCCATGATCAATCACAACGAAACAATGCATGCAGTAATCGACCCTTGATTGCCTGATTTACAGTCTAACGCTCTACTTATTGAGCGAACTATTGGTTAGAAACTTCATGACTGTGACATTTGTTTTATGAGCGTATGTTGTTTTGTTTCAGTAATTCCACACCAAGACTCAACATTCTTATATACTAAACCACAAAAGCTTGTAGGTTTATGGTTAGCTTTAGAAGACGCCACACTTGAGAATGGTTGTCTCTGGTTTATTCCAGGCTCTCATAAACGTAAGCTACTTTAATCTTTATCATGCTTAAATCGTAAATGGACTTGTCCATCTTTAAATCTGGACATAACAATTCATTAAATAAAGTGTAACAGATGATTTTGTGAACATAAAGTGTAATAGATAATTTTGTGTACATAAATTATGATAGATAATTTTGTGAACATAAAGTGTGATAGTTAAGTGTGTAAACATTACTGAGTTTGTTATTGTTATAAGTTGTATACCATTTGCTTCGCTGCAGGTGGTATCCTTGGTGAGTGGAGAATGGTGAGAAATCCTGATAAAACTGAAGGTGCATTCACAAACTATATTCACTGGTGAATCGCAAAAAAATGCGATCCAGAAAAATTCATTGCTGGTCCTGTTAAAAAGGGTATACATAATTTACTTATTTTGATTGTCTTTGTCAGTTGACTTTCATTACAACGATTTTTGATTGGAATACATTAAGAGATACTGGATTTTATTTGCAAAATAAGTCGAGCTATCTTACAGAAGATTGGTGGTCATAGTAATCTATTACATTCAATTTACCTGCATATCACATTCAGTGTCACCATTTTACCTTAAAAAAAAGTTGATTTGATTGTTTGAAAATCAGCCTTATGGGACCTTGATTAGTTAACAAAATGACAAAACCATTTAAGTAATGTAGCATATTTCATTAGGTTAATTTAATGTTGTCTGCGCAATTTTCATGTTATTTTGTTGTGATTAATGCTTTCGAGGGATAACCCTTTTTCCAGATTTTTTTTATATGGTAAAAGTTCTGGTTTGTTTTGTTGAATTTTGGGTTATGACATGTTTTTTTAAAGTAACTTGGGCTACTTAATTGACTTTAGGTACACTAGTTTTGATACATGGTGAAGTTGTACATAAGAGTGAGAAGAACCTGTCACAGAACTCGCGTCATATCTACACCTTTCATATGTATGATCAACAAGGGACTGAATATAGTAAAGATAATTGGTAAATATTGCTTTTGTTTGTTATCTTTTGTGCTCGAGTCATTGATAATTAAGCAGGCTAAATGACAAATGTGTCTCAAATGGTTTAGCTTAAATGAATGTAATGATAAAACAATTTGGTGTCAGGATTTTTTTGATTTTTTTTGGTCAATTTTCAATGCTTCATGCCTTTTAATCAATATATTCATTAATAAAATTAAAGAAAACAAAATGAATGTCATCTATTCTTTAAAATAATTGTTAATATTGACAATCCATATGTTACTTTATGTTTTATGCAAAATATTTACTTATTAAATACGCATATTTACCCTATTACTTATAGTACGGGCTATTTTGACTCTTAACAGTCTAGAGACATATACCCATACAGCTCTTGGTTTGGCACTATACATGTATATCTAAGACAATTGTGACTATTTTGCATGATGAATTTATTACAATATTTAATTGTTATCGTAATAAAATAATTGGTTATTGAACGAAACAACCAGATATTTTTTTAGCCTCTCAATGATCTTATTATTACTTGGTTCACGACCATGTTTTCTTCATACCAATTGGCAATACTGGTTACTTCCGGGAAATGAACTAGAAATGTGCATTAATTTGTTCCACAATGTAGATAAAATGATTAATATATTATGTACTAACATTATTTTTTGTATATTGAAGGTTACAGCCAACAGAGGAGATGCCGTTCCCACGTTTATATACCTGATATACTGAAGTTCCATGCTTTTTTAACCAGTAAAATATTTTAAACAGACTGTGAATAATATTTCAATTGCAATTTACTTGAAAATAAGAAATACACCAAGTTTTTTACAGATTTATTTGATAAAATGTTGAGACATTGACAATATTTTTTATTCTGCCTGTAATTTTAGGTTGAGCATTTTATGGGGTTTTATTATATGTGTTACGTAAACACTCTAATGTATCATAAAATGCTTGTTTTAAAACACGAGAAGAAAAATGATTAAATCTACTTTATATTTATAGGTTCAACTAAATGAATCTTTTTTAATGGTCGATGATGTTGTCCACAATTTAAAGTCACATGAAGTTTGGCAGTTAAATTTTCAATTTCTTTAATTTAACAAATGCTTCACAAACTGTTCATGTCTTCTACTTTAAGATGTGTTCTTTATTCAACCTACTATATGTCTTTAAATGTAATAGAATTTTATCAAATATCATCTCCTCTGGGCCATCTTTTATTTTCTTCTCAGAAGTTATCAAGAACATTATAAATATAACTAATACATTGACTGACAAAAATGTCAACTATGAAGCAACAATAAAGCAATATTCTAACACAGTGCACAATATTTAAAGTAAACAAACTTTTTTATTATGCTATGAATAAAAAATTAGTTGTAACAAACGTTTATGTAATACATAATTTTTTTGGGCTAAAATCAAGTTAAGTAATACAATACTACAATTCTGGAAAGCGTGATTTAAAGATGGTCAAAATAGGATTTTTTTGGCCTGTTTGAATTGATAATTTGTAGCTTGTTTGTTCACTGTATGAATGTTGTTATTTCAAAACAGACTATTTAAACAGTTTATTAAGCAGCTAAACTTGCATTATTATATTCATACGAATAAACAGTTATTTTACTGAAAAAAAAAGCTTTCTGTGTTATTTTAAACCTTAGAAATTCACAATAAACGAGCACATTGTTACTTCAAAAAACAAATCTTAACAAATTTATTGTACATGTCAGGAATGGTAGTCCCGACCAGACCGCAAGCCTTATTCAGTTAAGAAAAAGTCTTTTTGTCTTGTACAAAGCATGCAAATGGTAGATTCTAGGAAGTAATGAAAGAAACAAAAATGAAAATAACAGGTTTTGACCTTTCTTGAGATATGACGAATTTATATTTAACTTGAACAAAACCATGGACCTACATTTTTTCTTGACCAAAATGAAATAAACAAACGTCACTTCAGTTTATCATTCAAATACATAAATGAATATTCTGTTATAAACTGGAACGCTTTTATTGTGATACAAAACTTAAATTTTCAAGTTCTCGTAAATGTGAGTTTCATGTGCAGGAGCTTCGCGATCATTTGATTGTTTCACTGCGCATCTTGGCGGGATCGGCGGTGTTCTTTTAACGTCGTTACCTGGTGGTGGTCCTTTAAAGACGTTTTCTTGAGGTGGTAGTTTTATGTCGATTTCTGGAGGTGGTATTTTTACGTCGTTTTCTGGAGGTGGTATTTTTACGTCGTTTTCTTGAGGTGGTAGTTTTATGTCGATTTCTGGAGGTGGTATTTTTACGTCGTTTTCTTGAGGTGGTAGTTTTATGTCGTTTTCTTGAGGTGGTAGTTTTATGTCGTTTTCTGGAGGTGGTATTTTTACGTCGTTTTCTGGAGGTGGTATTTTTACGTCGTTTTCTTGAGGTGGTAGTTTTATGTCGATTTCTGGAAGGTGGTAAAATTTTACGACGATTCTAGAGGTGGTATTTTACGGTTCATTTTCTGGATGCGGTCTTTTTAAATGTGTTTTCTGGAGGTGTCGTTTTTCCAAACGATTTTTTTCTTGAGGTGGTCTTTTTTCCGTTGTCTTCTGCATATGATAAAATGATGTTTTAATAAAGGGGCTATCTAAAAATGTAACTGATAATTTTTCTCAAACTCATGTTCATTTTTTTCGGCGGACAAATACAATATTTAGTACTGAATAATGAAGCTTTTCATATGAAGAACTTAAGATACCTTTTTCCAACTGTTTGACCAAATAAACCCCCCATAACCCCGTAGAATTAAAACGTTTGAAAAATTTTTTTTAACAAAAAAAAATAAAAAAAATTGAAAAGTTTTTTGAAAAAAAATTTCCAAAAAAAAAGGAATTTTTAAAAAACCCAAAAAAAAGGAAAAAAATCCCTTTCCCTTAAAAAATTAAAACCTTCTATTATTGAAAAAATTTCGCGTTCAAAAAATTTTAAAAAAAAAGAAAACCTGTAAAAAAAAAAAACAATGTGCGAAAAAATTAAAAAAAAAAAAATAAAAAAAAATTTCTTAAAAAAGGGGCCCCCCCTCAAAAAAAATAAAAAAAGGGCTTTCCCCGCCCGCTTTTTAAAAAAAATTTGTTCTGTAAAAACCCCTGAAAAAAGTAAAAAATTCTCAGTTGAAAATTTTCCAAAATCCGCCCCCCCCCATGAAAAAAAAATTTGTCCCCGGAAAAAAAAATTAAAAGAAAAAATTTAAAAAAAAATTTGACTTCAAAATAACCCGTCCAAAAAAAAAAAAACCCCAAAACCCTAAAAAATGAAAAAGCCCAAAAATTTTTGTTAAAAAAATTAAAAAAAAAAACCCCTTAAAAACTTAAAGTGAAAAATTTTCCCTATCCCCCGTTGGAAAATGGGCCCAAAAAAACAAAAAAAAAAAAACAAAATGAAAAAATTTTTGCCCCCAAAAAAAACCGAAAAAATTCAAATTTTTTAATTTATTATGAAAAAAATTTAATTTAAGGTAATAATTATCAAAGGGGACCAAAAGTGTGTTCTAAAAAAAGTTTGGGAGGATGTTTTCGGCAAACCCAAGAGTGGTAAAAGTCATTTTTATAATTTCGACTGTTTTTATATTGTATCATACACATTTTCCATTATCAATAATTGGTCAATAACCAAAAAGAATACCAAAATATATTAAAAACAAGATCAACAAGGAAGGGCGGCGTTGACCCAGTAACACTGGACCACCGGCAAGGAGCCCAGCAGGACTCAAATAATAAAAGTTAACTCAATTTGCCAGTAAAAAAATGAACCATAATGTCCCTATATGTTAATATTGTACGTTACTAATATCGTTTAATATGTACGTGATTGAATTCGTTTTTTATGATTATTTTTTATGACTTTTAAAGTAACAGATAAACTTGGCTAATTTCTTTTAATGGTGGAACTGAATTAAGTTCTGGGCCCCTTTTATATTAACCCAAACCCAAAAAATTTAATTTTCCAAGGGGACCATGTCCCTCTGTTCCAGGAAAACAAAATAACAAAAAATAAGCACCATGACCAAAATCATAATGGTTACCTTTTATTTTGTTTCGTTTTCTTCAGGCACTTGTACTGAAATATCAATGTTAAAATTATATATACAAAAATAATGATGATAATGAAACAATGAGAAAAAAAAAACAACAAAAAAAAAACGAAAGGGACAATTACATTAATTTTGTACATAAATGTATCATTACATAAATTTATTTACAGTACAAATATTGAATAATAATGAATACCTGAAATTACACTTGAATACATGGATACATACTTATTTGTTTGTAATCATAGAAAAGATGTTATTGTCTGGCATGACCTTTGAAAAAATAAATTTTTGCCTTGAATGTTTACAGCTGTATTTAATGACTTAGATACTTTACAGTATGCTTAAATAATGTTTTATAAAACCAACTAAACTAGTATGCTTATCATATGACTACTCTTCAGTACACATTTTTTTGAGCATTTTAAAGAATTTTGGTAAACTTTTTCTAGCAAAAGAAAAAAAAATATACATGTTTGACAACGAATGTAAGATGTCTGAAAAATAGTATGAAAATTACCGCAAAAAAATTTAAAAAGTAGAAATGACAGCTTAATAATCAATAACGAGAGCAAAGAAATTGAAAACAAATGTTTTGGCATTTATTATATCTAAAATGTAAAATGGCACTGAAGAAAGCCAAGTTTCTTTTCAATTTAAACATGATAAAAACTGAGACCCAAGGGCACGTACCCCAACACAAATTAATATTAAAATGTTATTCAATGTTAAAAAAAAGACTTTTGAGAAAGGTTTAAAAAAAAACAAAAAAAAATTGCCCTTGCTGGAAAAAAACTTTAGAAAAGCAAAAAAAAATTTACGAAAAAGGTTAAAAAATTTCATAAAGAATGCAAAAAATCCAAAAAAAAAATTTTAAAAAGACCAAACATTCAATTTTATTTTCAACGGTTGTGTTTCCGTTGTACTTACGGGGTTTGTGCAATTGTACATTGGCTATCATAAACAAACTTTTCAAACAATATTAAAATATCTTCTTAAGTTCTTGTAATTTCTAAGCAATCTTACTTATGTTTAGATTAAAATTTGACATTTTTAGTAATTGTAAGTTTCTGAACACTGTTTGGCTGTTTTCATACCATAGACACGACTGTGGTAATTAATTCTATGCAATAATGAATATTTATGTTAACGGAAACATATAGATTTATTAGTTACTTACGTGCAATATCCTCATAAACATTATTTTCTGTTCGCTGTGGTTTTTGGTCTGTGTTCCTGACAATATAAAATATCAACTGTAAGGGTAAAGTCTACGTAAACGATTTGACATGATGTTTTAATGATTTTAGCAATTTTCTTTAATGACAAGGTATTGCAATTAATGAAAAGACATGCGTTAAACCTTTTATCGCCCCCCCCCCCAAAAAAAAAAAAAAAACACCACAGAAAAAGAAACAGACGGGTAATTTTACGCCAATTGTGTATGTCCGTTTATTCATTAAAATGTCCGCTCTGAAATTTTCGTATCTATGGAAGTAATATAAAGTATTTGGCAGAAGTGCTGACCATAAAGAGACGATGTGCAGGTCGCAGGTTGTAGCGTCCTCAGACCAAGGTCAAGGTTACATCAAAAAATTCAGAATTCTTGAACAATTATATTCATGTATAAAGGGTGAATACTATGTAAGTATTTACTTTTAGAAAAGATAACAACTATACTGTTAAGATTCTGTTAAGTGTAAATGCAGCGGTTCAAGCCCTAAATGGAGCAGATTTTTTTCTTGGGTATATCACTTTTTAAACCCCAAACGAAAATTTTTTTTTTGTTATTAAAAATTTTTGGGTTTTGGTTCCGGGAACACCCTTCTTCCGGATTTTTTTTTTATAATTACAATAATTAAAATAATTTTTTTTTTTCCATAATTAAAAACTACTATTGTGAGTTCAAAAAAGAATTTTCAAAAACGGGTGTAATTTTTTCCCGCCTCTGCTGGGGCTGTTTTTTAATTTCAAATGGTTGGGAATTGAGTTACTCTTAAAAACGTTATCAAAACTTAATTTTTATATACCGGGCCCAAAAACTACTGGGAAAAAAAAGTGACACTTTTTATTCCCTTTTCTAAACTTTTTTCAAAAAAAATTTTTTAACGGGAAATTTAATACATTTTGGGAAAAAGGAAAGTTAAAAACTTTATTATGGGCAAATTAAAAGATATAACAAACCAAAAAGATTCCCCATACATGTGCTTTTTTATCCCTGACCAATGCTTTTAAGAACAACAGTTAAAAACTTTATTTTTAGTTAACACAAGAGGGTTAACCTTCTAGGTTTTTTTTTCCCTCTTCTGGGTTGGGACTAAAAAAATCAAAAACAATATTAAAAACAAAAATTTTATCTTTTAAAAACCGGGGGGCTGTTCCGGGGAAAAATTCGTGACAGGCTTAAAAAAATTAAATTAAAAAAGCAAGGTTATAAATTAAAAATGGGATTAAATATTTTTCTTAAGTATTTATTTTCTGCTTAAAAAATTTTTTTAATTAAAAAACAAAGATAAAAGTTGTTTTTCACAAATAACCAATCACCATGGCAAACATTTACAAGGAAAACACCCCGGGGGACTTTTGGGTTTCAAAGACAATAACCTTTCTCGAAAAAAAAGTTGCTAAAAGTTGTAATTTAATTTTGCAAACTCTTGTTTTTTAATTTTTTTTTGACATCAAAGGGGATTTCGGCCTTTATATTTTGTGAAAATTTGACGTCATACGCAAAGAATTTAAACCCTTGTTAACCCACAATTATGGGCAATGAAATTGCGTTTGTTTTGTGTGCAAAATGAAGTCAAAATTTATGGGCGGAGGGAACGTTAAAATGTTTTTTTAAATTTTAAAGCAACGCTTAAATGTTAAAAATCTTTACTTGAAAAAAAAAAAAAAATCAAACCCTAAATTTTTTTTAAGGACAACTTGGGGTTTTAATTGTCAAACACGATTAAGAAAACGGGATGACAGTATTTTGTAAAAAAGAAACCCTATTTTTTGAAATTTCCAAAAGTAGCATGGCCGAAAAAAGGGCGGGAGATAAAGTTGGGGTTACAACAATCCCCTTTAAAAAAGGGCAGACATAAACCCCACAAATGTATGGGGAAACCCTTGTCACCTTTATTTTTTGTTTTTTTTTAAAAGTAGTATTTTGAAAATTTAAAAAAGTAATAGCAAGGAAAAAATAAAAATGGGATAAAGTATAAAAGCCAAGACAGGTTTTCCCTGGCTGTTTAAACGGAAAAATTGAAAAAGTGGGGTAAACTGACATTAATTGACGCCGTTACGTTGTCCCAAAGGGGCTTCCCCTTTACGATGTATAAAAATGTTGGTATTATAAATGCTTTTTAAAAAATACAAACGGTTAAATTTAAAAAATTTAAATAATCTTTTATAAATTTTGTTTTGTTTTGAAAATGTATATTTTTTGGGTGACAAAATTTTTTATGACCCCTGTATGGGTTTTCCAAAAAAAAAAAATGAAAGAAGTATATGAAAATTTCCGGACAAACCCTCGTATAAAACCAAAATTTAAACGTGAAACTGTTTACCCTTTTATGTTAAAGTTTTGAAATTTTTCAAATTTAAATTTTTAAATTATGAAAAATGTTTTAAAAAAAATGGATTTTTTTTAAAAAATTTATAAATATAGAAACAGGGAATACGACTAAATTTTTATAAAATTTAAAAAATTTTTGCGTTTTTAAAAGCAAAGGGGGAGTCCTTATTTAAAAAAAACAAACCCCCAAAAAGGGGGAAAAAAATTATTCAGAAACTTTTTTGGCCCATAAATTTTCATATGATTTTTTTCAGTGCATAGAACTTTGTGATCAAAAAGGTTTTTAAAAAATTTTCCCCTAAAAAATGAAAGGGAAAAATTCAAATATTTTTAAAAAAAAAATCAACCAAAAAAACCCCGGGAACAGCAGCTTTTCCCCAAAAACATTTTACAGCCGCATACAGTTTAATAGAGGAAGAAAGACGTTAAGTGATGCTATCTTTATTTATGTTTAGAAATTAACCCAAATTTTTTCAAATTTTTCAATTTAAAAAAGAAAAAATTAACTGTACGGCGTTGATCAATTTTGTAATCAATATGGCCAAAAAAATTAAAACAATTTGTTTTAAAGCAAAAAAAAAAGAAAAATTTTTAAAGGGGTTTTTCAAAATTTAGAATTTCTTTTTAAAATTGGTTTTACCTTTCAATACCCCGAAAAATGGGTCGGCCCCCCAAAAACCCTGACTACTCTTTTAAACGATGACCTGCAAAAAAAATCTTTTCAGTCTAACGAAAGATGTTTAAAAACACAAGTACCCGCCCCAAATCTGAAGAATAAACGGCGGATGTTTAAGGGGGAGTAAACTGTTTTTTTTTCCCGGAAAAAAACCCAAAAAAAAACAACCCGGGAAAAACAAAAACGATAAAAGTTTGCTCCTTTGGTGCAGGGGTTTGGGCTTTCCAGCCGAGGGGCAATTTAAAAGTGGTTTTTTTTTTTGAAAAAACGAAAATCTTTTTAATACTTTGATGTGACAGAAAAAGGTTTTCTAAGACCAAAAATTTTACGGGTATTTTAAAAAAACCCCAAACAAAACAGCCCCAAAAACAAAAACAAAACAAAAAACAAAAAATAAAGAAAACCCAAAAAACTTTTTTTTAAATTTTTTCAAAATTTCTTGGGAAGGGATGGTTGATG